CAGCAACTGAAATCCTACCAGATCCTATCATCTCTGCTACATACTTTTTAATTCTCTTCTCATTTTTTCTTCCAGAGTCCTTGCTAGTATTAGAGAAAGTGCTTCCACCACACTGGTACTCTCTCACTTAATTCTAAACACTCTGCAATCTGCCTTCTTAACTTCAATCAACTGAAATTGCCCATTCCAAAATTATCAATGATCCCTTAAAATCATCTACCAGATCTAATAGATGATTCTCAATCCAATCCTCAATATCCCTGCAGCACCTAACACTGTTGACCATCCTCTACTGATGGACATAACTTTCTCTGCATTTTTATGACACTGCTCTCTCATTTCTCTTCACACCATATCCTGAGGCTCCTTTGCTAGACTAGCACCCAAGACATACTTGCTAATTGTGGATGTTCTCTACTGGGCTTTCTTTTCTTTTCTACCGATACATTCTCACTTGGTGACCTCATCAGCTCTCATGAATTCAATTATCATCTATGCAGATGACTCCTAGCCCTACTCTCTTCTCCTGAGCTCCAGCCCCATACCATCAATTGCCTACTGAGCATCTCAAAATCAACAGTATCTTTCTTCTCAAATCCACTCCTCTTGAACTTCTGTATGATTCTCAAAGGCACTACTAGCCTTCCAGTAACCCAAGTTTCACAATCTAAGTGACTTTCACTCTCATTCATCTCACACATCCAATCAATTGCAGCAATTGTCAATCGTCATCTAAATTGCTTAACAGTACTTTCAACAAAAGGGCAGCTAAGTAGTGCAGTAGCTAGAGCACTACTTAGGAAGGGCAATCTTCCTGAATCTTTCTGATTCCCCTTCATAAGTTCAAATCTGGCTTCAGACATGTAATATCTCTATGACTCTGGGCAAGTCACTTGATCCTGTTTGCCTCAGTTTCCTCATCTCTAAAATGAGCTGGAGAATGAAATGACAAATCACTCTAGTACCTTTGCCAAGAAAACTCCAAAATGGGGTCACAAATAGTCAGACACAACTGAAATGACTTAACAAAAATAATTTTCAACAATGGCTTGATCCATTATTGTCAATCAATAAGATTAACACCACGATGTCTCTGTGAAATAGGAACCTTAACTCCAACTTCTTCTGAGCTTCTAGAATGTCATGTGCTATATATATATATATGTGTAGGCTGCTCTCTTTGTACACTATAATTTCTAGAGGACATGAAATAAAAACTTTAAACCACAAGGAACAGGATGTCAGTGCAATGCTTGTGGTATAACCACACCTACATTTTCAAATTATGAGAAGAAAACATTCAAGAACGTTTCCTGCAAGCAGCAGTTGCTACTGAATTCTTTCCAAAGATGTAACTTCAAAAATGTGAATGGACACTTGTCTCTACACTTATGCTCCTTAGGATGTATTAAGGAAACACATTTTACCTGATTAAAAAAACAGTTTGGAGAAAATAAAAATGTATTAAAGTCTGGGAATACCAATATAATAATTACTAGAAGCTTTGGAGACAGATACTGCAAAAAATAAATCAGATACTTAAAGTAAAAAGCTCTTCACCTAGGGAGATGTCCCCTGGCAGTACTACAGCTGCAGTGTCTGTGGATAGAAGAAGGAGACAAAGAAAGGGCTCCTGCCGGTCTAGGCAACATGCTCCATCAATTGCTCATTTGATTATTGACATTCCTAATACTGTGAGGAGTCTCCTCACTATCATAAGCTGCTAAGAAGATTACTCAAGACCTTTGAAACCTGGAATAAAATTTAGGTGGGAAGGGAAGGAGACAGAAGATAAAGTATAGACACTCTGGGGTTAGACACAACTAGGATCATGGTAACTAGCAATAGATGTCGCAGCAGTTAACATACTCACACTTAAGATAAACCACAAACTAGTGACAGACTTTAAAAAAGATACATTTAATGCTCAGTATGTTTGATGTAATGGCTGGTCACACCTTATTCATGATAACAAACAGATTATCAATGATGAGAGAAATACCTATTCAATACAGACAACCAAGACTATCAGTGACAACAGTCAAAAGGAACATGGAAGCCTAGGCATTTCCAAAGAAACTGAATGTTCTTCAGCGAGCAAACCAGTTCTGGTATTTTAAATCCTACTACCACTGCAGTCAGGTGACAGCAGCATTTTCAAATTATATATTTTGTAGTCATTTATCTGCAAAACAACTAGTATAAAGTGATAATATTTTCTCAAATGGAAGGAAGGCCCTTCTAAACACACTCCTGGAACTAAGAGGGCTTGACTATTCCCCATAACTGTGACAGAAGTGAAATATATTCATTTTTTAATAGAAACATTCAAAAACATTAATGTTAGGATTAATGTCAAGATTAATTAGCATTAATCTAAAATCTTTTTTGCTGTTTTTTTAAAATCTCTTTAACTCTTCCAGCAATCTTGTTGGGCTTGTGTCCAATCTGCATTTTTCTTTAAGGCTTCACTTATAGATGTTTTTGAGTCATTGCCTTCGTCCGAGTTTGTGTCTTACATTTCCTTGTCACCATAGAAGCTCTTTATGGTCAGGTTCTTTTTCCATTTGTTTATTCCTCCAGCCCATTTCTTGACTTTAGATTTCAGGTTGGTGCCAGGCTCTGCTCACCTGAGGAGATGCATCTGGCCTGAGCTTCTGTTCTTTTCTGTCTTTCTGCTGCTTTCATAGCTCAGTCTGGGGGCCTGCAAGTTTTCAGTATTTCCAAAGTGATGTGAAGCAGGGAGAGGTCTGTTTGTTCACTGTCCTTTTAGTCTGCAAATTCCCAACCTGGTTTGGGTCTGTTGGCTTATATGTGGTAAAGTTTCTGTAGACTGCTGCTGGACTCAGTTACAGTTAGCTTGCTGGGTAGCTCTGTTGTTTCAGAGCAACTGAACTGGGGGTTTTCCCTTTGTTTGGTTTCCTGCTTTGGTTTATTCCACTGTAGGTTTATGCGCAGGGCTAAAGATCAGAAATGAGTCTTGGGCTCTGCTCTTGGGCTCAGAACCAGACAGCTATGATTCTGGAACTTGTTCCTTACTCCTTGCACAGGTAGGAGCTCTGCTCCCTCTCAACCACAATCACTCCTTTCTGCCTAGATCTGTGCCCTGGAACCAGGGAATGGGTGACAGAGCTGCCAGATGGCATCTGTTCCTACTCCAAAGGATGGCAGAGGGGTGGGACTCTGGGATCTCTCTCAGCCCAGCTGTTCAATCTTCTTACTGTTCTCAGGCACTGGCCTGCTTCCTGCTTCTGTTTGGTGTGGTACTCCACTGCACTCCTGGTCAAGCCCTGCCTCAATGTCTGCAGACACTCTCTGGATGCTTTCTAAAGCTGCCATTGGCTAGAAAAATGACTCACTGTGACTTTTTCTTGGCTTTCCTGATTAGAATTTGGTCTGGTGGTCTTTATCAGTCATTGTAGAGGAGGATGTAAAAGAGTTAAGGCAAAACTGCTAGCTCTCACTTGGCCATCTTGACTCTATCCCAACATTAATGATTTTCAAGCATGCTGACTTGAGTTCTAAATAATGGATGATGCTCTCCTGCTTTCCCAGCTGCCAATGGAGTGAAGCAAGGATGTGTGCTTGTTTCCATGCTTTTTAGCACGATGTTTTCAGCAATGATGTTGGATGCCTTCAACAAGGACGAAAATGGCATCAAAGTCAGCTACCACAATGATGGTAAACAAAGTAACAGGGAGAGTTGGTACGTGACTTTTTGTTCATAGATGATTATGCACTCAATGTAGCCTCCGAGGCTGAGACGCAACAAAGTATGAAACAATCCTGCTGCTTGTGCTAATTTTGGCATAATAACACTAAGAAAACAAAGGTTTTCCACCAGCCAGCACCATACCATCCATATATGGAACCATCAGGTAAGTTCACTTACCTTAGCAGTATACTTTCCAAGGATGTGCACAAAGATGATGAGATTGATTCATGCATTGCCAAAGCTACTTCAGTGTTTGGGAGGCTCCAAAGGAAAGTGTGGGAGAAAAGAGTAAGTATTAAACCGCCTACCAAACTGAAGCTGTTGTGCTAACCTCATTGTTGCATGCCTGTGAAACCTGGACAGTATACCAGTACCACACCAGGAAATGGAATCACTTCCATTTGAATTGTCTTAGGAAGATTCTGAAGATCACCTGGCAAGATAATGTACCAGACATTGAGGTCCCTTCCTCAGCTGAGCTGCTAAACATTCAAATTCTTCCACAGAGAGTACAACTCCACTGAGCTGGCCACATTGTTCAAATGCCACACATGTTTTTGCCTATTAGAATATTCTACCAAAAACCCACAGAAGGCAAGTGTTTACATGGAGGTCAGAAGAAGTAACAGAAGAACACTCTCAAAGTCTCTCTGAAGAACTCTGGAGAGCCAATATTTTTAGTCTGATTTAAAATTTTAACAATATATTCTACCCTCTTGATTTTTTGTATTATTAACATCTCATAAGTGTAACACTGCAATCTAAATTCTACCCAATATTGTACGTAATTTAATAAGACAATGAAAGCTTTTCTGCACACCAAAATTATTCTTCTTGTTCTTGTTCATTTCACTGAGAGGTATACACAGTTTCTGTCAATTAAAAAATGCTAAGGTACTTAATCTTCTAATATGCAGACATTCTAAAATTCAGTCAAGTTACATCCTAAGAGTTTGCAAATCCTTAGACTGAATTTGCCTATTAACTAGCAGACTGATCCTTTCAGTTGACCATAAAATGGTGCACTGCATCAGCTCCAAGAATTTCTCTGCAGTACATTTCTCAATATCATGTTGGTAAGCTAAAAAAAAATTGGGAAATGTGTTAAGGGCATGTAAATAAGGAAATCAGGCTTAAGGAAAATATGCATAACAGCATTACTCTACTTTAAGCTAACATGATCTTATCTAACATCAGAGGTTCATCTGTGTCACTTCATTTAAGACACAAGGAATATTAATGAACGCCATTTCAGCTTCTAGCAATAAGTAGTTTTATTGTTTACCTGCTGAGTACGGCTTCCTTGTCTGCCAAACGACTTTTAATTTTGCTAGTCAGGTAGTCCAAAAAAAGGGTCCAGATATCCAAACAAGAGAAGTAACCTTCATGGGTAGGCTATAATGCAAAAGAAATACAGATAATGAAATTAATAAAAATAGAAATTTCTTATTTTTGAAAAGGCCGTTTCTTTAAAAGTTAAAAACAAAAGCACACTACCTCCTAAACAAATATTCTTCCAATATGAAAAATCAAAGAACTTCAGTTCACTTTTGTAAAAACAGTCCCTTAATTTTTTCTGCTCTAGACTGCCAAGTTAAAAGCTTTATACATAATTACAGATAAACTCTTTTAATAGATATTATGCAGAAGTAGTGTTATGAAGGAGAATAAATAAATGAATCTTCTAAAAACCAAAGGTTTGTTTCAGTAGCTAAAAAAAAAAAGGTGGGGGGAAGCTAGGTAGTGCAGTGGCCCTGAAGTCAGGACGACTTCAGTTCAAATCCAGCCTCAGACCAAACACTTGACACTTACTAGCTGTGTGACCCTGGGCAAGTCACTTAACCCCACTTGCCTTAAAAAAAAAAAGGGCAAAGAATTGAATTTAGGACTTCTGATTAAGATGATGATGTGAAAAGTTACCAAAAAAAGTCTGATCCACAACTGTAAAAAAATAAAACCAGAAACATGCAGAAGTATTTTGTATGTGTACAAAAGAAGGATCACATCAAGGAAGCCAGTTCAAGCTCCAATAACGAGATCTGAATACTACAAGCACAGAGAGAAGGGTTGTGCCAAGGAAGACAATGCAAGCTCTAGTATATGGGCCTGAATCCAGCAGGTGTTCTAAATAAGGACACTCCAGGGCTTCTCAATTCAGTAAGAGAGCCATAATTGGGGCCTGAAGCCAGATCCCAGGCCTGGCCTAACAGAACAGAATTGGGGAACAAGGTGTGCCTACATAAGTCACTGTACAGGGAGACAGGGCCACAGCAATAAACAAGGTCAAGTCAGGTCTTAAATGTCCAAGTGACCTCGTAAGAGGTTGAAGACCAGTGCAATCACTAACTCTCAACTGAGATATGCCAGGGGTACAGCAGGAAATGGTACCAACTCCTAACTGGAAATTGTTCAAGGAGGAGATACAAAACAGACTGAGGCCAATCGACCACCTGAAGGCTGAGACAGAAATTCAATCTAGTCTGAGCAATTCCATTCAGAATGGCAACAGTAACAGCATCCAAACTACAAATCAGAGAGAACCAAAATGGGCCTACTCAACCCATCCAAAAGTGCCAATCTGATCCTCAAAGTCCCAATCCAACAGCTAATCTTCGTAATCCATCCAATCCAATATTAATAAACAGAAGCAAACATAAAAGACAACGGGGGCTGCGAAGCCCAAGAGATAACCCCCAGAAGAAGAGATTAATAAAGCCCCAAAGGAAAAAAAAACAAACAAACAACTGCTTGGCCACAAAAGCAAGATCAGCTAGAAGAAACGAAGCTAAAAATAAAAATTAAGTGTAGAAATGTAGAGGAATGGTGTCAGGAAGACCTGAGTTCAAATCTGACCTCTCAGACACATGATACTTACTACATGTGTGACCCTAGGCATGTCACTTAACCCCAACTGCCTCACAACAACAACAAGAAAGAAATGTAGAGGAAAAAAAATTACCACGATATAACTCTCTAGGCATTTTCCAATCTGCCTACCAAGGCCCCAGTTATCAAATGTAATTTCAAACAACTGCTGACCAGAGTACAGGGTTTTAGAAACCACCTAGACCAGCTTCTTCATGTCATAATTGAGGAGACTAAGGCCCAGATAAGCTAAATGACTTGCCAAAGGTCACAGAGTATTAAGCAGCAGAGGCCAGATGCAAGCTCAGGGCTCCAAAGTCTAGTCCACTACATTACTTTCTTTCTTCCCTTTATAATGTCAATTCAGTTCAATTCCAACAAAATACTTTTCATGTACAAGGCACAGTCCTACAACCCTACCTCAAAACTTCTCATTTGGCACCTTCTGCTCCCGCTCTCTAGTCTTAGCCTTCCCTTTCCATATGACTATCCATCCTCTGACATGGGCTGCCCCACAGCAATACCATTCTGATTCCTGGATCAGAAAGTGAAGGAGAGTGAAAGTGGGAGGCAAAATTTATAGGTCCATCTGAAGCCTTCCAAGAAATACTTACTATGTCATTATGCTTGTCAAACTTAATGTTAGTGAACATCAAATGTCAATTTCTGGCCTACCATTTATCTACATCATCAAAGACTGGGGGGAAAAAAAAGAACAGCAGACATAAATATTAGACAAAATCCTCTTTCATTCTAGGTTTTGCAGCAGACTTCCCCTGCTATCATGTTTTCTCTCTTTCACTAATCTTCTGTCTCTCCCTATCTCCTGGCTCCTTCCCCGCTGCCTACAGCAAAGGGGGGAAAAAAGCATAAGTCAAAGAGAATAGTTCCTTAGTCATGATCACAGTGTTCAAGATGTGGAATTTCTTAATCCACAAAACCAAAGGATGTTCATTTTCAAGTGTCCTCAATGGTTCTGATGAGATGTTCCAAGTTATCTCCATTTATGCATCTTAATAAACAGCAGTTAACAACTAAGGCCATTTTCTTCTGCATCTGGTCCTCTTCCAAATCTCTCAAGTTCTTGCTTCTAAAATTGGCACAAAGGGTTTTAAATCCATTATTGTACTGCTAGTAGGAGGGCTAATCCTACCTAATCCAAATCTTGCTGCTGTAGCCATTATGCTTTGGTCATTTTTTGGGAGAAGAGCCTTTTTGCCCACACCTTCCTCTAAACCCTCACTTGGTCTGATCTTCCGGCTAGATAAAGTTTTATACCTCTCCTCCCTTTCATGGCTGAATACCATAAGAAAGCATCTGGACTTGGTGCCTCCGCTTCTTTTCCTTTCACTCAATTCTAAACCCCCTGCAATCTGACTTCCAACTTGATCATTTAAATGAAATTGCTTCTCCAAAATTATCAGTCTCTTAATTGCCCAATCTAATGCCCTTTTCTCATTCCTCATCCTTCTTGACCTTTTTCTATAGCCCTTGACATTGTTGACCATCCTCCTCTTCTCCTGAAAACTCTCATTCTCTGAATTTTCATTGTGCCATTCTCTCCTGGTTTTTCTCCTACCTGACAAGCTCTTCATTCTTCTTTGCTGGATCTTCATCTAGGTCATACCTACAAAGAGCCGGGCTTCCCCAAGACTCTGTCCTGGGCCCCTTTCTTTTCTCTCCCTATATAACTTCACTGGGTGACCTCATTAGCTCCCATGGGTTTAATAGCCATTTCTATGTAGATGATTCTTAGATCTACATATCTTGCCCTAATCTCTCACCCACACTACAGTCATGCCTCTTGGTCATCTCAAACTAGATATCCTGTAAACTCAAACTCATTATGTTCATAACAGAACACATAATCATTCCCCACAAATCATCCACTTCTTCCAAACTTCCTTATTACTGTGAGAATGTCACTATCCTCCAGTTACCAAACTGAAAACCACTGTATCTACCTTAACTCCTCAGTCACAATCATCCCATATATCCAACCTTTCCCAGGTCTTATCTACCTTATGTTATGTCCCTTTCTCACAGTCAGCTGCCACCTTGGTACAGGCTTTCATCACCTCACACCTGGACAAACTCAACAGACTTTTGGTGAGTCTCTTTACCTCAAGTCTCCCCACTCTGGTCCATCCTCCGCTCAGCTTCCCATGTGATATTCCTAAAACACAAGTCTGTCTACCCTTCCCCGACCCCTACCTACAAAAACTTTAGCGTCTCCCTGTTACCTCAAAGACCAAATATAAAATCCTGTTTGGATTTTAAAGCCCTCTATAACCTGGTCTCTTCCTACCATTCCAGACTTCTTACTCCTCCCCTCCAAATACAATAAAGGCCTTCTTGCAGTTCTCACACACAACACTCCATCTCCTGACTCCTTGCCTTTTCACTGACTGTCTCCCATGCCTACAGTTTTTCTTCCTCACTTCTGCCTACTGGTTCCTGGGCTTCCTTCAACACTTCTTCCTTCGGGGCCTTCTGCAAGAAGCCTTTCTTACTCTCCCCACCACATCTTAGCCCAACTCACTCTTACCTCCAGCTAGTTCAAAGCAACTTGAAAGTAGAAATTCATTTCCAATGGAATTTGCCAATATTTATGATGTAAATGGACCTTGAGATGTGTAAAGTGATATTGTAAGGAAAGCTAACCTTAATTACTTTGTTAAATGTTCACACTTAGTAGCAGAGGTGGGGCAACAACTCAGCTCCCCTTATTTCCAAAGCAGTGCTCTTTCTATTCCTTATTCTTAAATCTTATCCCCATAAATATAGAACATAGCTCCTGGATTTCATCTTCATGTCCCTTACCATCTCCATTTCCCTCCCTATTAGAAAGACAAAATTTCAGAAGAATAAGAGAGCTCAAAGGCCACCTAACCTAATCAAAACCTGAACAAGAACAACTTCTACAACATCCCTAACAAGCAGCCATTTAGCCTTTCTCTGAAAACTTCCAGTAACAGGAAAACCTATTACTTCCTAAGGTGGCTCAAAAAGTTTTCCTTACATCAAATTTACTTCCACACCCAGCTCCCAGTTCATGCCTTCTAGAGCCCAATATAACAAGTCTTATCTCTCTTCTATAAAGCAAAGCAGCCCTTCAAATCAAGGCCTTTCACCAATCTGGTTGCCCTCTTCTGGATATTCACAACCTTGTCGACAACTTTCTGAAAATATGGCATCCAGAACTAAACACAACACTCCAAATGTGGCCTGGCCAAAGCAGAATAAACAGTAAATGATCATTCACTTCATCCAGAATACTTTATTCTCAATGCAATCTAAGACTGCAGGAGCTTTTGAAATTGTCATATTACACTACTGATTCAGACTGGGCATGCAATCTACTAAAGCCCTCAGATCTTTTCCAGATGAAATGCTATCTAAGTATCCGTCCCCTATTTTGTATGTGTGAAATCAATCTTTTTGAATTAAAGCGTACAACTCTACATTTTTCCCTTTTAAATTTCATTTAATTCTATTCAGCTCAAAAGCCAACCTGATTACTCTTTAGG